CAAACAAACAAACAAACAAACCTGACTGGAGCAACCTTTGTGTGCAAAACACATGCCACAGGTACTGTAAAAAAGCATGCTTTTTGGAGCTGTCATGCCAAAAGTGCCACATGTCATTTTTTGTGCTCTTTGGGAATCTTGACCTGCACTAGGTGCAACAGGACACAAAACGGGTGCCGCATTGATGAAACCCTACACAGCACACTCTCCAGTTCCACTTTTGGATTGAAACGTTTGATGACGGGGTCACTCGTGGATGCGCTGCAACTTGCAATATTTGGCAAACAAGAGTGTTTTCCCACGGGGTCTACGGCGGACATTTGTGGGAATAGGGCGGAAACTCGCGGACTGGACATGAAAGCAGCGTATTAAACACCTCACAAACACTTCAGCTTGACTGTTTTGTGAAGCCCAGTCCTTGCCAGACACCTGAGAAGATGAATTTTCCCAGTGGTTGGTCCGCCCCATCGCATGGCACCTGAACATCCAGCGCCTTGAAGTCTCACAGCTTCGTTTTGGAATGGGGTGGTCCCTGAAGGAATCTCCTGTACAGAAAGGATCAGGCCAGTCTGGCCATGTATAAGTCTTGATTCTAGGACCAGGAACCAACGGGGACCACCATGGTCCAGGAACGGACCAACGCGGAAAACCACCAACGCGGTCACTACCAACGCGGAAAACCACCGTGACGTGACCGAACCATGTTTTTGCCGCCAGGCTTTCCAGGTGCTGGAGTACCTCGACAAGGCGCTCCGCGATCCGCCCGTTTGAGGTCCGGTGCCGCTCGAAAAAGCCCGCCCCACCGGCCGCCGGGAGGGTTCAGAGACTGTTCTTGAGCTGCGAGCCGCGGAGGTGGGTCAGAAGTTGGACGATTTCGAGAAGACCTTCAAGTATCTCAATGACCGCCGCGTTTGCGGGCCGCCTTTTTGGACCATCGTGACCACTTCTTTTTTGGTTGGAAGATGTTCGGTGCGAGTTGTGAGAGGACAGGACCGCCCGGTTCATGGTAACACGTTCCTGGGGTCGTAGATACAGTCATTTGTTGCTTCAAGAATGTGCTAACACCAGGAGCCTTTAGGATTGCTTGCCTTGAAACGGACCCGAGGAAATACATCGAAATTCAAAGTAGTGACATGGTCGCCAGGAAATATATCGAAATTCAAAGTAGTGACATGGTCGCCAGGAAATACATGGAAATTCAAAGTAGTGACATGGTCGCCAGGAAATACAGACTCGATTGGGGGCTCCAGGTTGGTGGTTGGTGGGTTCACCATCGATTGGTTGGTGAATGTTCCAAAAACTCGTATTCGGTGTGGGCTCTGGTGCAGTGCGCGAGCAGCGCTAGTAGAGTCGCTAGTAGATCCAGCCTGGATTTTGTTTCCCCAGCAACTCTGGGATCGACCAGGCTCCAAGGCACCCGCGTCATATTTCTTTCTCTTCGCGACGTCGGGGCGTCGGGGCGCGTTTGTGCGACGTGTGGATTGTACTCGGAGTGCCTTCATTCTCTTGCTAGCCCGAGTCAGGATTGCTATGTTCTCTTCATGCAACAACCACAAGATCTGGAGTTGCTGGAGGAGGTCCCGACCCACGCGAGTTCGCCGTAAAAACGCGGCGAGCCGGGCTTGCGGCATTCGCCGTCCGACGGCGACCGGCGGAGTCTCCATCCGCCGACCCTTCGCGAAATGCACGGAGTGCGGAACGAACGCAGTGTTTGGACCAGACACGCCGAGTTCGGCCGATTTCATGCCTCCTTGGACCCCCCACTTTGGCCAAAGGCGAGGCAGACCTGGGAGCTGCGCTACCGCCTGTGGGTGCCTGGCTAAGCTGGGGGGCGGGGGGCGAAGAAGCAGGGTTCCTCTGTTCGGCCGTCTGAACAGAGGGCCTCACTATAAGCGTCCCACTTCGTCCCAAGGGTCTGACCGTCTGACCACTGACCGATGTTCAGCGATGTCATCCGTTTGAGCATCTGACCTCGTCCTTCAGAGGGAGAAGCAGGATGTGACAGGTGTGACATAGACGAGACAGTGAGGTCAGACGGTTCGTAGGTCTTGAAACCTCTGACCATCTTCCCTCAGTCGCCCGCCTTTCCACTTCTTGACCTTGCAGTCCCTAGTGAATGTGGGAATGTGTGACTGGACTATCCGACGGCTCGAGTCCCAAGGATTCTGACAGACAACTCTGGGAGCCCATCATACTTTCTTAATCTTTTTTGCTGGCCTGCCATGCAGATTGGAGCATTTATGCTCGAATCCCCAAAGAAGCCTGAGGACGTTTTGAGTTGCGCCTTGGTGGCATCCGACATCCCTGTCTGCATGGACATGAGCAAATGGATTTATGATATTGACAATCTGTAGCTGTTAGTTTCGAACTGTCCAGAGTCTATTGCGCATCACTGGGCGTGCAAAGTGAAACCGTGCCAAGGTATCATCATCAGATCTTGAATATTCTTAAGCCATACTGGGCCATACTATACCTGCTCTAGATCCTTCATGCTTTTGGTGTCGGGTCTTTGAAAGGCTCGCGACTGTTCTTAGACATGCACAGACATGTATGTTGAACAAGTGCGTGTGGATACGTGAGCACCGCAAGAAACCTCCCAAGATGAACTAAGTAAAGGCCTTGTCATATGGTACTTGGGCGTAAGCAAAAACCTGAAGAGCGTAAGGTTGTGTAAGGGAGTTGTGAGACATGCATGTTGCGTAAGCTTGCCATATGGTTGTGTTTTCATTAGTAGATTCTTAGCACACACTTGTCAAGAAAGGAACTGCTGTATGGACCATGAGAGCTTTGAAACCCTTGGGAACTGAGATTTGTGTGCGCAGGATGTTGGGATGTTGGGTGATGGGGTGTGGGTGGGTAGGTGGGTAGGTGGGTCGCGTCGTTTCGGAGGCATGATGTGAATACATTGTCACACGTTAGTTTCATAGTTTCATCGCATGTCGTTCTCGTTGCACGTGCATCGCTTCGGAAACAACTTTTTTCAAGCTCAAATCGGCGCAATTCGCGCGCACATTTTAACCATGTGAATGCACGGAGCTGCTGCGTTGAAGGATTTTCAGCCTAACATAGCTTCATACTGAGATTTGTAATGTACTCTGCTGTACCGGCAGAGACACTTTTCAACAGTTTTGTTTTTTGAACAAAAACACGGTCTATGGCTGCGGGTCAAATCCGGACCCCCAGTCCATAGTAGGGTTTGTAGTCTATATTCTGTGTACATGTTCGGCGGTCAAAATCCGGGCACCCCCAGGTAGTCAACCCACAACCATTTTATGGGTTTGACGGAGTATACACAGTATACAACTGATCTGTCCAACACTCAAAAAGGCTCTGAAGGGGCTGGTTTCGTCGTTCCAGTCTGGTGGAATGGTTTGGATTGTTCGGCGATGCTCGGCTCAGCATTGGTGTGAACCCCCCTGAATCATTGGAGGAACCCTGACAAATCGAGGTTTGGGAAAGGAAAGAGGACGGTGCAAGGTTTGGATTGGAGGTTCCTTCAAAAAGAGTGTGTTTGATAGTTCCAGGTATATGCACAAAAACGACTGATAAGACGCAGGCAAAATTGTAGTCAGGAATTATTGTTGTCGCGAATGTTGCGTAAAAGGGCGGACAAACTACTATAAAATTCTTTGTTGGCGGCTAGAGGAGGCTTCAGGTGGGATGATTGTTCGAAAATGCAGATCTATCAAGGCTGGCAGTTGCTTGAAAACAGGAAGGATGTTCTCAAGTTGACTGACCCCGGAAAATGTTTGATTGCAAATTGGATGTGTTGTATCCAGGTTTATGCACATCCGTTTCAATTGAGGAGTGGATCAACTTATATAAACGATGATGCCAGGACGTAGACAAGAAAACCACTACTTTTCAAGACAAAATAACATGTGGGACACTTTCAACCAAGATGTTTTCAAGATGCTGTGGATGTTTTAAGAACCTTATCCCTTTTCCAGACTTTTCACGGGATTCTTAAACCACACAATGGGAAGCGGACATGCGGACATGAGGAGTGTTGCTGGATGAAGTGCAAGAATCAAGAAGGAAGGGGGCGTGTCAGCGACCGTTTGAACATGTTTGAACGTAAACATAGAAAGAGGATGAAAGAGGAATGCTACAGGTGGCTCCCGAAAGTTGGTTCCGGGGGAGAAAAAGGGCAGATGGATTTGTCCTTTTTTTTCGGCACACCTCAGTACCAGCCAAGAAGAACATCATGATCAATCCGAACTTCAAAAGCAACACGACAACCTTTTGGAGACGAAAACAACATGACTTGGGCTGATGAAATACACCCCGCGCTCAGCAGTTTCGTATTGGCCCTGCACTGGTGCAAAACACAAAAACAGATGCAGGGCCAATACGTTTTCGACTCTCCACGTGCGCCCCACTTTTCGAGTCGATGTGGGGCCTCTTTTTTTCGTCGCCGAGTCGGCCCAGTGTTCAGGTTCGGTTCTTCCAGCGCTCCGGGGTCTTTTCTACGGTTGGACCGGACGGACCGGACGGACGCCGGACGGAGCCTTCAGTGACAGAGTTTTTTTTTGTTTTAGTCAGTATATTTCTTATTGATGACACCAATTTGAACTTCTTTGTTTTTATTTGTGTTTGTTTTTCAGGGAGGTTTGGTCGTTGATTGTCAAGCCATATAGATCTTGATTTCAAGGGAAGACTCAGCTATTCTGCGCCGCAACTAAGGGGAAGCAACGCCTTTTTTTTGAGGATGCAACTCAGCATGACTTTCACAGCGAGTCGTGTTCACCAGTGGAAGGGCGACACAGAAATCGCTTCATCTACGTGAACGGAGTGAGGCGCCCAAGGCGTACTGCTGCATTGGTTTCGGAAGAAATGAGGACGTGCTGCTGGGTGGTGCTTGAGATTTTGTTATTTGTTCCATCCTTTTTTGGGAATTGTTTGAATCACCAACTGACAAGTATGGGGATATATGAGTTGAATCGCCAACCAGGCTATGTTTTAACGCAGCATGTCAATGAGCCTGGCTTCAGCTTCGGCGAGGACCTATGCCCGATTCATGTTGCAGCGCACATGGGAGACTCAGCCCAGTCATTTGTGGAATTTGCAAAGCTCACGGTGGGGAAGTTTTCCAAGGTCTATGGAATTAGGGGGTCATTTCTGTTTTTTGCGTTGGATGCTTTGGAGTGCAGCCGCGCAACATTAAGGAGACCTACGAGCACTGCGATTTCTTCTACTGACGGGGGCCTCTGTTGAGCAGAGGACTGCGACAGGTCAATCTGCACTCGACCTTGCTCAAGCTGCAAATCACCGAGGCTCGCATGACCAGATCATTACTTTGCTGCAGGCAACGCCTTCCGAGGAGATCCTCCTCGAACAAGTGGCACCTCTTTCAGAGGGTGAGGGAGACGAAGACTGACGGTTTTTCGAATTATCCAAATAGAATCCTTATACTTCGAGGTGAATTACAATGCCGTCACCGATGTGAGATAGGAAACAAACAAAAACGACCCTGACCTACTTTGACCAAGCTCCACAGCAACTTCCCAAACATTCCGCCTGCTTTCTATCAGCTAGGACACACACACACATATTATATATATATACACATACGACATCCTAAAACAACACATTTCTACCAGCACGTCCATAAATTAATGACCCCTTAGAGGTCATTCGGGGGTGTCCATGAACCACCCCAACTGGGGGTCCAGGTATACGACCTTTCTTCTTCCCTGAGTGAAATGGCTTGACAACTCCCACGACCCAGCTGACGTGAGGACTTCATCGACCAAAAGCTGTGGATGTTGTCGGGTGGGACTCCCAAGTCACGAACGTCACCATCCATTTCTTGGAAACATTTGTTTTGATTAGGGTTCCATGATGAATACGGGTCTCAGCCGTGCTCAGCCGTGGGGCTGGTATCGCTTGCCCAAGTCACTGAACAATTCCTGCGGTTTGTCACCACGTGTTGCGATTCACCAAGATACATCATGCTTCAATTCTTTAATTTAATTGAACGGATGGCCAAAATGGCCGTTGCTTGCTTTTGGTTTGGATAACGGAATGCAAGCACATGCACCAACCTCAACTTTTAATCAAGAATTCAGATTTTCTGAAAAAGGCTGGACACCAAATGCGGAGTCCAAGTCTACTCTCCTCAACTTTTCGAGTCTCTTTCGGCACCTCGCCCCAGTGGGTCTTGCGCTCACAGACCGATCTCGTTGAGCTGCTGTGCGGCACTCGGCAACGACAAAGGTCGCGGACCGCGCGGAGAGACCGAAGACGCGCGAAGAGACGGCCCGGCCCGTCGGCGTGTGGCCATCTCCCCAAGAGGTTTGGGCGAAACGAGCCGGTCACCGGTCGGTTCCGACCGTGGCCTGGTCTATTGATTCAGAAGATAGACAGAATTGAGGGGGGACACATGGTTCCGTTATAAGGTTTTTGTTCCGCAAAAGGCTTCCTCCAAAAGCGCCAGTTTTGGTTCGGGTGCCAAACGCCAACGACCCCAGACCCATCTCGCTGTGGCGCCGCACAGCGCCCCACCGTTGCATCGCCGCACGGCTGTCAGGGCATCGCGGCGCAGTGGCTGGACACCACGGCCGGGGGGCCCTCCGTGAGGCGCTGCGGCGATGTTTTTAGCTGGATGGAGCTGCTGAATCCCAAGCTGCTAAGACCTGGTCGGGGCGAAACCTGATCCACCAAAGGGTAGGGGGCTTTGACCGTTTTTGACCCATCCCTACCCTTTCACCATTTCTGTCAGCAGTTGTCGATCACCTGGGTGACCGGAGCATTTCCTTGGACTCCGAACGAAGAGGAGTTTGGCCCCAGGGAAGGGCGACCGGTGTTTTTTCCGGCGTCTGCGTGTGAAGATCGACCAGCAAATGAGAGACACCGTTGAGGGAACCAAAAGAGTTCATGCTGCCAGTGAATCCACACGTGACATCTGCCAATTTACCAATCTGCCAAATTTGAAGATCGACACGTGAATTCTTGCTTAAGATGTCTGCCAAGATCCTAACACGATCTAATTAAAACCATAAACCGCCGGACACGTTCTGATTTTGGATGGTTCTCCCGATCGCGAGGACATGACCCCCTGCAAGAGGCATAAGGCATCAGCACTGCCCCCTCAAACTCCTGGACGGATCACTGGTCTTCTGGTCTCCAATTGTTGGGTGTCAAAACTGCGGTTGGTGAGCTGTAGAATTCTGGTGCAAACATATGCAACCCGTTTCCATAACAGAAGAAGATTGCTTTGGCTCAAAAAAACGATGAAGAGCAGAGCAGTAAAACGCCTTCTTCTTCCAAAACACCGAGGCCAAGATCGCCTCGGAAGCCTTGGTGCGGGTGGATGCACCTTGGACCGAAGGTGGTGACACCAACCGCGGCAACAACGCCTCTGGGCGGGGGGGACAGAGGAGATTGGACAGTGGCTCCAGAACGAACATTGGAAGGTGCATTCATGTTTGGCTGTGTGGTGTGTTGGAGACACTCACCTCGCGTTGGGCGAAGAGCTTCGTGGGCTTCGGTCAATGAGTGGCGTGACCACCCCCGCCCACGAAGGTCAATCAGTCTCTCTGAGAATGTTTGCTGAAGCCATCAACACTGTTCAGCCACCCCAAAAACGATCTCATCCATCCATCCAACAGAAGAAAGAGCTCAGTTTTCGTGGATGTTGTCTTGGATTTTCCGCACCACCGGCGCTTTTTTGGGCCACTGGCCAGTTCTACCATGCCGGGGTAGAAACACCCCCCGCACCGTTGGTACCCTCTGTACCCGTCCGGTCTCCGGTCTCCAGGTCTCCAAGATCCGATGCCAACTTCAGGGCTTCGTTCAGGCCGCCGAGGGAGCCGGGTCCGCGGAACCAGAGCCGCGCAGCTGACTGAGCGCCGATTCAGTGGGATTCGAATGCGGGCGAACACGGAGCGTTGGTGGGGAAGTCGTGTTCTAGCTGAAGGCCCTTGCTTTGAGGAAACGACACGGTTTGAGCGTGAAATCGTAGGCTTCTCGAATTGAAGTCTGAATTGCGGAGTGCTTTTGGGAAGAGATGAGATCCACTTAGCACTTAGCACTTCGAGGACGTTTCACTCTTTAATACAAGGGAAAGACTTTGAAAGAGTGTTTTTTCCCGGACTTCAACAGTCTTAGTTAAGTCAAACCAAACCACTCCAAACTGTACCTGGACCCCCAGTCGGGGTGGTTCATCGACACATCAAAGGAACTCTAATGGGCTATTAATGGACACCCTTTTCTGTGGTGCTGGTAGATGCATGCTGCATGTACATGTTTTCTTTTGGTTGGACACAACGTCTCTTCGGCTGATCCCCATTGATACTCTCCGGTGCTCGTCTCCTCTCGTGCTCTCCGGGCTCGGATCCGGTGCAGGTCTTGAGCGACTCTTCGAATGATTTGGCCACGGATCCGGCAGGGGGACCTCGTGGGCACGTGAAGCGGCGAGCGGCGAGAGCGGTGGAGAGCGGCGAGAGGGAGAGCGGCTCGACACGAACGGTGAGACAGGTGGTGAAACATGGTGAAGCCTCCGGAAGACCGGTGATCCACATAATGTGACCACCATTGTTATATAAATGAGACACCAGGCCCAGAGCCAGTTCGTCATGGTTTTCGCTTTTTTCCCGTGAAAACGGTGATAGCGGGCGGATGCTTGGACATGCTTGACATGCTTGGGTAGTTTTCATGTACGTCCTTACGTCCTTGGATAGTTTTCATGTGTCTATTCTCTTGCATAGTACCTTGCTTCTCCCCGAATCCAGATGCCTGTTTTCAACTCACCCCGATCTTCGGTCTCACCGATCTCTGCTAGTTTTCCATGCTCACTTTCGGTTTCCTCGGCAGCCGAAGAGCCTCCCCCCCCCCTGCAGGTGGTGATCGAATTGCGGGATACTGTGGATGCGTGGCCGGCGGCCGAGTGGATTGGAGGTTGATTTCCGACGAGCTCCGTGTCGCCGCGACGGCTGCGACGCGGCCCGATTCGAGCGCTGGAGCTTTGGGCCCTGAGGTTTGCGGAGCGAGTGCCAGTTTGGGCGCAAATGACTGGCCCGGCCATGGGTCTGGGCCTGAGAAGATCCCCAAAAAGCCGCCTGATTTAGAGAGATGTGAGAATAGACTGGAGAAAGCAACACGCCAGGATTACCGGTAAAACCGGTTCATGAATGGACTACCTAAACCTTGCACCCCTCCCAGCTTGGGCGGTTGGCAGGTATATGTGTTCGATTGTATTCGTCAAGAAAGGCGCATGCAGGTCATTTTTGTCAGTCGAGTTGGAACGGAAGGGTTTCCCGGGTCATTCTATCTCCCAGGAGTTCCCAAAGGGGTGCCGGGTGCCTATTGGAGGATAGGGGTGCCCATTGTGCACTCACTTGGGTCACTTAAGGCCAAGAATCATAAAAGATCATTAATAAAACAACAACAACAACAACAACAACAACAACAAC